TGAAAAATTTCAGAATCAAAATAAGAGCTAAATATTTCTACAATGTTACTTCAAAACTAGTTATTTTTATAAATAAGAAATTCACAACACACAACAAAGGTGGAGAACTGTAATTGATAAAGGTGATTATATTACGGATTAATATAATTTTGTACAAGAAAGTTTAAGAATATTAGAGAAAGTATTATTGTGTTTATGGGCACCATTCATATATTATATTCATATTTTATACATGTTTAATAAAATATTTAATAATTACTTTTTAATACTGGAACGTGAAGTGGTATATTATTCAGTTCAGCTAGTGAATCATCCTTTCCGAGAATTACAATTCCAGTATCTTTTTCCTCTTTATCAGTGTCTTCGGCAGTACTAGTTTCTACAGTTAAATTCATATAAGCTTTCTCCAATCGACGTTTGCCCTGATCATAATTAGCTATAAAAGGATAACTTTATGAATATATCTCTAATTACAACCTATAAAAATGCTACCACAGACTACATTACATATATTTTAATTGTATTTTTGCAAACATATATTCTCGATTAATAAAATTATATTATAACTGAAACTATACTTCGAATATACTTCGAACAGTACTTCGACAATATACTTCGAGAATATACTTCGACAATATACTTCGAAAAGTATTGTAGATAACCTTATAGTAGCATACCTGCTTCTTTTAGTATTACCACTTCCCATAACTTCCAATCTTTTTCTACACTTTTTAATATTCTTGCCCATCTGTCGACCTTGGGCCAATCTTTTTTCTCTGGGAAGTAACACATCCACTTATTTGTGCATCGTGTTAGCCATGTACGCGGAACTAAGTCTATCGACTTCTTGCTACCAGATGATGACTGCGTATCTACCATAAATTGGACAACAACATGTGTTGTTTTTTCCTTTAATTGATTCATCTTCCTGAAACGTATAAAATAGAATAAAGTCAACAGTAAAATATGAAATTGATGGAAAAGAGGTTATATGATAACCTCTATTCCATGTATGGATATAAGTTAAAGAAATGATACTATATCGTGGTAGCCAATTTTAGCAAACAACACCAATGGAAAAGTACTACTATGAAAAGCAATAATAATAAATTTACTTGGAAATTATCAAACATTATACAGATACTTACATCAGTGATACTTATTTATGCATATGTCGTATGTCAGCTAGCGCCAAAAACAATGAAACAACGTAGGTTGCGGTCAAGCTGCCGCTACAAATGCTCCCAATTGTATTTCTCTTCTCTTTCTATCTTTGCCGAAAGAAAGGAGAAAAAGAGTGCTTGGAAGTATTTGAAGCGACAACTTGACCGCAGCCGTAATGACGTATATAGTTCAACGTGCTGCTACAGTCTTTGATACTTACACACATTTATATATATTATACAAACGGTTTCCTATTTTTTACTCTGTATTTTTTATTTATATTTATTTTAACTTTGTTATATTAAATTATTTACATTATATTTGAAATTCTTTGTTATATATTATATTAAAATAATGTTTTATTATTAATGTATTAAAGCTATGGCATATTTTTTATCACACACTTTTAAATATATCAATTTACTTTCAACTGCAGTACCTAAATATTCTTTTTGGTTTCCT